CTCTCTCTCTCTCTCTCTCTCTCTCTCTCTCTCTCTCTCTCTCCCTTTCTTTCTTTCTTTCTTTCTTTCTTTCTTTCTTTCTTTCTTTCCTTCTTTTGTTTCTCAAGACAGGGTTTCTCTGTATTGCTTTGAAGGCTATCTTGGAACTCACTCTGGAGACCAGGGTGGCCTCAAACTCACAGAGATCTGTCTGCCTCTGCCTCCTGAGTGCTGGGATTATAGGCATGAACCACCAATGCCCAGCTCATGTATACAGTTTCTACAATCTGTAATTTACTATTATACGGATAATATTTTATTCATTGATTCTAAGGCAGAGATGTTAGAAAAAATGCTTGAGGAAGTAAAGAAAGTTTTACTTCACAGGGGATTACAAATTATTCCAGAAAAAATACAGAGATCAGATTATCTTTCTATCTTTCTTTCTTTCTTCTTCTTCTTTTTTTTTTTTTCCGAGACAAGGTTTCTCTGTGTAGCTTTGGAGCCTATCCTAGCACTCACTCTGGAGACCAGGCTGGCCTCGAACTCACAGAGATCCGTCTGCCTCTGCCTCCCAAGTGCTGGGATTAAAGGCGTGCGCCACCAACACCTGGCTCAGAGATCAGATTCTTATACTGTCATCTTCCCATTCTTTCTTCCAGTGGGTGCAGGTAGAGTCTCTACCTCTTCTGGTGAGTACAGTTCCAAGGCTCTCTCCTGGTGGATGCAGATATGTTCAAGACTCTGATGGCTGCAGTAGTTGGATGGTTTGGTCTGCCCCCAGGTCTCTCTTCTGTTGAGTGCAGGCATGTCTAAGACTCTCCCCGTGGGTGCAACTGGGTCTGAGACTGCAATGATGGTAGTCTCTGGATGGTTTGGTCTGCTGGTGTGGCACTACTACATGCACAGTCCCCAAGTCAGGAGACACAAAGGAGGGGGAGAGGAAGGTGGACCAGAGGAGGTCCCACACTCACCTCTCCTGGTGGGTGCAGGTGGGTCTAAGACTGTGATGGCAGCAGATTCTGGATTGTTTTTTCACAGAGAGTAGATTCTATTAGTTACTTGGGATATAAAATAGGTCTACAGAAAATTAGACCACAAAAAGTACAGATCAGAAGAGATCCATATCAGACTTTTTATGATCTTCAAAAATTGCTAGGAGAGATTTCACAGCTATAAACTATTATTGTAGTAGAAGGATTTGATCTAAAAAGTTTGAAAAAGACACTAAAAGGGGACAAGGACTTAAATAGTGCAAAAATATTATCAGCTGAAGCTTAAAAGGAATTTGAATGGGTAGAAAAGAGTATACAAGAAGCACATGTGCATCGTGTGGATCCAAAGCTCAACTGCATTCTGGTTATATTACCATCTAGGGAACACCCTTCAGGGATTTTGATGCAGAGGGAAGATATCATTTTGTAATGGATATTTCTACAACATAAACAGAATAAAAAATTAAAAACATATATAGAAAATATTTCTGATTTTATTTTAAAAGGAAAATTAAGACCTCAACAACTGATAGGAATCAACCAAGTGGAAATTATAGTACCTTTAACTAATGAGGAGATTTCCTCCTTATGGAAAGATAATGAATTCTGGCAAAGAGCTTGCAGTATTTTTTGGAAATGCTAGCAACAATGATCCGAAAAGTGAGAGAATAAAATTCATAAAGAAAACTATTTGGAGCCTTCCGTGCACTGTAAGGAAAAGACCAATCTGTGGAGTCCCTACATTGTACATTGATGCAATCAAATCAGGTTAGGCAGGATATAAATCAGGAGATATAAGTAAAGTGGTTCAAAGCCCTTATAACTTGTTGCAAAAGGGAGAATTATATGCTATCCCTATGGTACTTACAGAGTTTACAGAACCTCTCAATATAGTTACTGACTCTCAGTATATGGAGATAATTGTCTCACACATTGAAATTACTGAATTTATTCCTGATGATACAGAATTAACTTCATTGTTTATAAAATTACAAAACATAATTATCAATAGGAATCATCCCGTGTATATAACACACATCATATACCATATGGATCTGCCAGGTCCTCTAGCAAAAGGTAATGGTGAAATTGATCAGTTATTGATAGGAAGTGAGCTGGAGGCCTCAGAATTTCATAAAAAATCATGTAAATTGCAAAGATTTTTAAAAAGGATTTTTCCATCACATGGCAACAAGCTAAGGAATTATTTTTTAAATTGCCCTACTTGTTCTTTCTATAACCAGCAGGAAGTAACCCTAAAGGTATACATAGAAATGAAATTTGGCAAATGGATGTGTTTCACTTTGCAGAATTTGGAAAATTACAATATATACACCATACATTAGACACATTTTCAGGATTTCGTTGGGCCACTGCTTTGAGCTGGTATTACACACCTATAGGAAATAATGACTATACCTGAACAAATGAAAACTGACAATACTCCAAAATATGTCTTCAGTAAATTGAAACAGTTTTTTAAATATTATAACATAAATCATATTATAGGTATACCACACAATCCTATAGGACAAGCTGTTGTTGAGACATCTAATTGCACCTTAAAGGAAATCAGGCAGGTAGAATTAAGATCTCACAAAAAGATTGCATAATACTTTACTAATCTTGAATCTTCTTAATGCTAATGAGACAGGAAAAACAGCCAAAGAAAGACATTGGACTATAGAAAAAGCTTCTGAGCTAAATCATCCAGAGTACTTCAAGGAAGTGTTGATCTCAGAATGGAAAATAGGATATGTTCTAAGTTGGGGAAGGGGTTTCGCTTTTGTATCTACAGGAGAAGAAAAGCTATGGATACCATCAAAGCTAATCAAGATGCAATTTGAACAGGAGAAACTCTTGATGAGGAGAAATAATAGGTCATTCACCAAGGTAAATGACACAAATTCTAAAGAAACCTCATGAAGGGTTCTGTTCTTGCCTTTGCAGGAAAACAGAATATACCCATCTTCAAGAATCCAAAAGACATTGGATATGCAGAGGCCTAAAGAAGAAAGGATAACTATCCAGAAAGAATCACCAATCAAAGAAGAATCTGAATTATGGTGCCAATATCTATACAGGGTAAAAATCTCACTACCTAAACACCTATGTCTCTTTACTTCCCAGTACAGTAGTAGTCGCAATTCCCATAAAAATCAAAGTTGGCTTTGGAGTTGGACTGTGCCTCTCCTTCTGTAAATCCAAGCATGCTGTTAAAAGAAACATTCAGAGTTTCTATCTCATATCAGAAGAGACAACTGGTGTGAGACAGAAGAAAACAAAAATCTAGGGACTATTGTCAAAACTCTGTTATCTCTCAAAAAAACCCCCAATTTTCCTCATACTTATTTTCATCCTTATTCATACCGTTTTTTCCCTGTATACATACTTATAAAATTTAAATTTTCCATTTTGATATTAATGTTTAAGTCTTCCACAGAAGACTAACAGAAATATCTGGTCTCTAGAAAGAAGACCCCCATGTCACTGATTTCACTTGATTCAACATGATATCTTTGAACTAGTAAACACCATTGAAGAATCAGTTTTTGCAGACAGAGTTTCTGTCCAGTCCAGTCCTGTAGCCATTTAGTCTCAAATAACCACATAGAGACTTATATTAATTATAAACTGTTTGGCCAATGGCTCAGGCTTCTCACTAGTTAGTTCTCTTTTAATTATCAACCCATTTCTGTTAATCTATGTGTTTCCATGTGGTCTTGGCTTACTGGAGAATATCCCAGCATCCTACTTTCCAAGTGGTTATATGGAGTCTCCTGGTGACTCACTTACTGCATTCCTCTTCCTAGAATTCTCCTAGTCTGGTAGCTCTGTGTATACTTTCTGCCTGGCTCCTGGCCAATCAGCACTTTATTAAACCAATAAGAGAAACATATATTCACAGCATACAGAAGGACATCTCCCCATCATCTCCTTGTTTTCTGTCTAAATAAAAAGAAAGTTTTTAACCTTAATGTAATAAAATTATATATAACAAAACAGTTATCAGGCCAGAACTATAGTTAACAATATTTAGTCCATTTACATTTGGCAAAATTTAAAGAAAATATTTTATCATCTATCCTATCTTTGTGAGTCTAAAGTTTTATATGTAACTTAACTTTAATCACAATTAAGGAAAACCATAACCATAACTGTCTTCTGTCTTCAACTCTATCAGATATCTCAGGAGGGCAATATATAAACTGTAGTATTCACAAAGACATCTCGCTGCCTGGACAGTCACCCAGAGTTCCTCTGTAATGTTGGAGCATCCATCTTTAACCAATAGGCCCATAATGTCTGGCAGACTTATCAGTGAAGCAGGAAATTTGAAACTGTTCCACCTGTATTGCAACTTTGTCATGTGTTTTCTCTGTGTCATGCAAATATGTGGCAGACTCTTCCATGAATCAATGACCCTAAAGGACTGTCCCATCTTGTTTTGGCAATTTCAGCAGTCACTTTCCTGTGGATACTGAATGTTCAGTTTAGACAGCCTACTGAGAGCAGTCAAGGTGAGGGTAATTTTTTGCCCAGTGGCTAATTTTGCCATAAAGAAAGTAAACTCCATGTGGAGTTTCTTTGATGCTCATCACATTCTCCAATGTAGATCGGTGCTGCTGGGAGCAGACATGTCTCATTGTCATGAAAAGCCCTAATAAACCATTTCAATTGCCATATTCTGAAGGTCTTTGGAAGGTTTTGGAGACTATCTATTCATTTTAAATATATCTCTGTATATCCAGAAAAACCTAAATAACATAACTGTAAGTTTCACTATTATAGGTTACTATCTATAATCTGTAGTTTACTTATACATTACATTTTAAAATGAGCTGTATGAAACAGTATCTAAACAAGAGTAGCAATATACTTATTACAAAATTGACCTTAAAATTGTGTCAATAAACCAAAATCCATACCAATGAAAAATATTCATTTCTGTAACATATTCCTTTTTTTCTTTATAAAGAGATTGACTGTGATCATTAACCATTTACAACCAATCCTGTTTAAATTAAAACAAGCATTTATAAACAACATTTGGGAATTTTGTTGCAGTTCTCTTTAAACTGCTTCCTGTTGTTTGGAGGTGCTATCAATCCCAAAGGGATCCTGAGAAAACCCAGTACCCTGGCCAAATCCTGGCTGTAGTAGTCTGTGTGGATGCATGGTCTCAGCTGTTTTAGATGTTGGATCACCTGGGCCACTGCTTTAGGGGTTTTGCTTGGTCAAACCATAATTAGTCTGGAAGGAATCCTCAGCTTTTCATCTAGAGAGTCACAGCTAATATCCTCTCTTATCTCAGCTAGAACATATTAGGTACAAGACTTGGACCTTCCAGAATAGGACAGATGTTGGAGTAATCTCTGTTATATGCCATTACATTGGGACTGGACATTTAGTATGAGTTTCTTGCTTAATGTTGCTCTTGCTGGTTGTAGGTCTAAATTTGTGTATGTTTTTCCCTTTCTTTTCCTGGACTATTCTGGATATTTTTTATCATTTTATATAGGTTTTGTATCAAGAGATTAAAAATCTCTTATTTAGACAAAAATGGGAAATGTAGTGGCATCTTGCTTTGCCAGTGAACAAAGGTGGTGCCACACCCTATGGGCATGGCCTCAGGTGTTCAGATGTGACCCCTTATAAGATAGAGGAGGGGCTGGCTCACTCTCTTGGGTTATGGTGATAGCATCAGAAGGACAGAGACTGCATCTTCTGGACCAGGAAGACCTTGGCAGTTATTTACTATCATTTGTGTAAGTTCTTCCCTAAATAAATTCCTATTTATCATTTATATTGGGTCTGGTGTACTCATTTAAACTCTGGTTTCACCTCCTCAGCAACAACTCAACCGAATATAACCCTGTACCACCACTGGAAGCCTTGACCGACTAAAAAATATGGCCATTTCAGACTCTATCCTCCATTAGAAGGAGTCTCCATTAGGGTCACCCTCATAGATTCTAGAAAGTTTCCACTGCACTAGCTGTCCACACTACCTCCGAAAAGACCCCTAAATTCAGCTCTCTTTCTCTACACTCTCTCCTTCCACCCCCTACTTGCTTTTTCTCTCTCTTGTCCCCACCTGCCCCCAGTCTACCTGCATAATCTGTTGTTCTGTTTCTACAACTGTTCAATACCTGAAAATGGAAATATGGTATACATCTTGACTCGTGGTAAAGATTAAATAAGTATCTAATATTGTACACAATGAATGAACCTGCCTATTTTCCCTTTAATACTTCATACTTCAAAATGTTTGTGTGATCTAGGCCTGGTATTGTAAACCTACAATGCCAGTTCTTGGAAAGGCTGACACAAGAGGATTGTGAGTTGAATGTCTGTTTGGGCTACAGAGTGAGTTCAAGGCCATTGATAATTTTTCAAGATCTTGATTAATAATAATAATAATATTTTAAAAGAAATGGGGTGTAGCTCATTGGTAGAGTTTCCATGTAGCCTTTGTGAGAGTCCAGGTTCAACCCCCACTACAATAAAAAAGGAAAAAAGTGACTATCAGGCACTTGTATAGCCTTAGTCAGTCTTTCTGTCCCCAAGTCCTGTGATTTGAAAGAAAAAATGAGAAGCTAAACTTGTTTGCTCTTCAGTTGTTGTTTGTGAGAAATTTCACTAGAAAATGTAAGAATGTGACTTTGCCATCAAGTTTTCTCCCACCAGAGGAAGAGTTAAGGAAAGCAATCTTGTAATTGTGCTAGGCAGGGCTTTAAGGAGAGAAAGCTTCATCCCTCCAAAGTGTTTTGAAGTAGGGACATATTGTTGATTTGCTCCACATTGAACAAGTAGTATAAACAAGCAGACTCCTGCCTTTTGTCATATGTCAGGCACTCTGTCCTCTATAAGAATAGAAACTTCATTGGAAAACACATCTGGTTTCTGAGCTCAGGCCTGTCCATCAACAAAACAGATGATCTGAAAGCACCGGAAGGTGGGGCCCTGAACTGGGCTACAGGCATTTCTCCAGCCTATTGTTGCTGAGTAAAAGCAGACTAGTTTCTGTGAATGGGGGAAAAAATAACCAGTTCTGGAAGAGAAAGCCACATGAAGAACTGCTATGGAAGGTTAAACATGTGATGCTGAACTGAAGACTGGAAAAGCAGTGAATGTAGCAATAGGGGAGGGCTTATTGGAGAGAACATTTTGGAATGGGAATAGGGTATAAAAAGGCTAAGATCCCCATCAGGAGAAGTGCATGCTGACCGTCCTCTACCATGCCTCTATGCTGGCACACGGTCCTGAAAGAGGGTGCAGGCAGCGTGTTCTCACCCTCTATGAGGAAAAGGGTTCAGACTGACATCTTTTATTCATGAAGTACTATTTCTGAAAAGCTAAAAGTAACCTTCAGGGTCTTATCAATTTTAAAAAGACAAATCTTTTCTGTAGAGTTTTGGAAGCTGATGGGAATACTCAAAATTTTAAATATTTGTTTTTGTACAAAAAAAGTGATTGCTTTCCAGTATGACTGCTAGTTTTTTTTTCTTCCTTGATACGTAAGAAATTATTCAAAGACCAAAGTAATTACTACACCTGGGATTATAAATTATTAAAACACATTCAAACTTGATCTCTCCTCTATTTTAAGCATAAATTAGAGGCACTTTACAGTTCTGTGAAAGGGAAAGAAAGTCTCCATTTAGACGAGGCCAACACATTTGCTCAATCTGATTCAGTGAGGGAAAAAGAAGTCAAAAGTAACATTAAAACGCATACAGGTACACTGACAAAAGAAAAAGAAAAGGAAAACATGTTTTCTAATGTTCACTTTGTGAGCTTTACCTACTTACTTCCTCATTTTGTGGAAAAAAAGTATTCATCTTCCCATCTTACAAAGGAGAAAACTGGGACTTTGGAAGTTTCTGAGGCTCAGAACAACAGGGTGTTCTGGATATGGTGGCACATGCCTTTAATCCTAGAATTCAGGAGACAGAGGCAGAAGGATCTCTAAGAGCTCAAGGCTATCCTGGTCTACAGAGCAAGTTCCAGGACAGCTAAGGCTGCACAGAAAACAAAACAAAACAAAACAAAACAAAACAAAACAAAACAATAGAACAGGAAGTAATGATGGAGTGCAGGAAGATATCAGGGCTTTCTGATTCATTAACTATGTGTTTTTTCTTTTGAAAACCTGTTATTGTTTTATTTTAAGTGTTTGTGTGTTTTGCCTACATACCTGGCTGTGTACCACCTGACTGTCCTCAGAGGCCAGAAGAAGGCAATGGATCCCCTAGAAATGGAGTTATAGATGTTTGTAAGCCTCCATGTGGGTTCTGGAATTTGAATCTAGGTCTTTTTGAAGAGCAGCTGGAAGACAGAAGTTTCTGTCCCACCTGATTCTGCAGTTGCCTTGCCCCAAATAAACACACAGACACTGTTTTAACTATAAAACTATTGTCTGAAGGCTAGGACTTCTTACTGGCTAGCTCTCTCTTAATTATTAACTCATAACTATTAATCTACGTATTTTATATGGTCTTGGTTTACTGGAGAATGTCTGGACTCATTACTCCTTTGGCAGCTACATGGCATCCTTCTCTGGCCTCTCCTGCCTCCTCACAAGGTGGGACAGAAATCTCCATCTCCATCAGTCACTATTCTTAGTCTTGAGCCATCTTTCTAGCTCAATATCCAGGACTTATGGTTTGATGAATCCTTCCCTAAAGATCAACTCAAATACTCACCCACACTCTAACAATTGCTGCTGTGAAAATTGTATGTCTCAGGGCAGAAATGGAAGCTCAACATGGTGTGTGCATGACTACCTGGCAGACTGCAATGTGACTTTTAGTATTTCTCCATGATTCTTGCTATAGTATCACACTTAGCAGCTTAGAAGTCAAAAGAGAAACCAGGTCATGTTTTTGTTTAGGTCAGAGTTTCATCTTAGCTACCAGACTTTTCACTTGGTAGATGCAAAGTTGGTTTTGAGGAGAAGCCTGCAGTCAGATGTGATCATGGGATAGACTCTCCAACTTTCTTAAAGGTGGTTGGTACCTAAGGCACTAAAGATGACTTTGAAGGGAAAGATGCAGCTAGCTGGGTGCCTGGACATTTTTCTATGACCATGTGCAAAGCTGCATGCAGGGGCTTCTGGCAATCACAACACTCTGTAGTGTCCAGAGCTCCTGGAGTTTTCTTGTGGTTCACATGGGTAAAGGCACATCACGTGATGTGTTAGCACATGATGCTTGTCTTGTGGTTCCCTGGCTAAAGGTAAAGCCATGTGTTAGCACGTGATGCTTCAGTCTGTGATAACATCTCAGTTCCATAGCATTACTACTCACTTGTTTGTGGTGATGTTGATGTTAAAGGAGTCACAGTGCAGCCAATAATAAAAGCAGGAACTCACAATCACATAAATAACACTTGGTATATAAATGACTAAGTCACTGGTTAATGAATTTATTATACTATTTTTTATTGACTGTTTTGTTAGAGCATATTCCTACTCATAAAAATGTTTACTCTATGGCAGTACCAGGTGACAGCTGATATTGTTATTCTCTTTACCACAGACTCATGAATGCATCAGGAGACTTGGCCAGTGACAGACCTATGCCATGCAGGCTTGGGTAAGTGCCCACTATGCTGTTCGCAGGAACTCACCTAATCACATATGTCTCAGAACATACCCTCACCATTAAGTGTCATACAACTGTATTTTGACAAATTAGATAAAGTGTTCAGGACATCTAAGATGTGAGAAACTGGAGACTGGTGATACAAAGAAGAAACTGGGTCTTTCATGAAGACTTCAGAATTCAAGGTCAGCCAGACTAACATCAGTTGTTCTATCGATTCTTCCTAAAAAGAGTGTCTGTGTGCATTAAGACGGTGTGGATTTGTTGTTTTTCAGATGTATTCATATTTCTCTGAAGAGCATTTGGAGTGTTTGGACATTGTGGTCAGTCCCTAGAGTTTAGACTTCACAGTTTCTCCTGCCTAGTACAAAAATGAAAAAAATCTAACAATGAATTCTACCTTAAGTTACTTAGGCTTCCCTGGCATTATATTCTTTACTTGTAGAGTGGAAATGGTAAGCATGCCCTCACACGTTATTGTTCCAGAGTAAGTAGTTCAGTAAGATGGCACAGTGGTAAAGGTCTTCCTGCAAAGCCTGGCAATGTGAGTTCATTTCCCCAGGACTCACATGATGGAAAAAAAGAACTGACTCCCAAAAGTTATCGTTTGACCTCCACATGTGTACTTTGGCATGTGTGTGTGTGTTCAAACATACATGCACACACATGCATACAAAGTAAATAAAAATGTAAGACAAATCTAGAACTAAATAACAGTTCACATGTAAAGGTGCTTTGCACATTGCTATAATATTTACTACAGAGTAGAAATGCAAAGAAAATTGTTATTTATTTTATTGTTTTCTGTGTATGAATGTTTTGCTTTCATGTTTTATGTATACCTTGTTTTGTGCCTGGTGGTCAGGAGAGGAGTCAGGACCCTTGGGACTGTAGTTAAGCTGGTTGAGAGCCACCACATGGATGCTAGAAACCCAACCTGGGTCCTCTGCAAGAACATCAAATACTCTTAATCTCTCCACCTCCAACATCATTTTTATTAACAATAGCAAATGAAGTGTGACCATTAAAAGTGACTCTTAGGCATGTGGTCAACTTTGGTAAAAATGATCTAGTCTATGAAGCTGGGCTATCTGGTGTTGTCCTTATTTAAGGACCCAGGTTAGGAAACCCAGAGAACAAGGAAGGTTGTGTGTTGTGGTTCTTCTGAGAGCTAACAGTGGGTTGTATTAGCTAGGATTTTATATGAGAAGTCTAGGCTGTCCTTTTTGGTATCCTTCAACAAATGTACTGAGTCTAGTTTTAAAGCCTGCTTTGTTTGTTTACCTTTCTCTGTTTTGGAATAAGTTGGTCATCATAAAAAGATCAGAGGTAAACAGTTTAAGCTTTTTTTTTTTTTTTTTTGTACATTTTTCACACAGGGACCTTAACTGACCTCAGATTTGGAGCTTAAGTTTCCTTTTCCCACTTGACACCACCTTAATCATACAAAACCAAATGGAAAAAAAAGCCAGCACCTCTTCCCAAGTCTTTTTTTTTTTTTTTTTTAATATCAGGAAGGTAGCAGATGCTAGTGGAAATGCTTTGTCTTTCTTTCACCATGCTACTCTATCTCTACTTCAGCCTTAATATTACACAAAACAGAAAATATACACACACAAACATTGTTTATGAGTTCAGGAAACTCTGGATGTGCAGGAACTTCTAGCATTTGGCTTTGCCTTAGGTAGTGTTGAGAATAATGAACCCAGTCCTGCCTCTAGAATACATCCAGATTACTTTATCATTTTAAGGATGTTGATAATTGTAGGATCTTTCCAGACACCTGGATAAGTATGAATGGTTGAGAGCTTAATGATGATATTTTATCAAATAATCTGAAATTAGAGATCATTTTTACTGGGCAAATTTTTAGAAACACATGAAAAAATATTAGAAAGGTGTTAGAAGCCACTACTAATTCTTCTCCGTGGATACACATGTGGCAATGATTCATTCTGGAGTTGCTGCTGTCCTAAAAGCTGGGTCAGACCTCAGGAGATCGTCACGGCTATCCTAGAGCCCAAATATCCTCACTAATATGCTACTGCACATTTTCTGTTGGTCTCATGTAATCTACCTAATTCCATGTTAGATAAGTATAATATCTTCACAAAATTAGCCTGCAAAAACGGTTCACCTCAATCGGCTTTCTCAGGTTTCATGAGGAGATTGTAGGTATGATAATTTAAAGTTGATGTTTTCTAAGCACTTTCAGAAAGCTCTTCTCTGTTTGTATGTTACCCAGGCACACTGGGAAACACTGGATGGCAACAGATGATTTGGTGTTTAGCACAGATGCTGCTAGGTAGCTCCAGGAAGGCCATCCATGAACTCATCTGACACCTGTGCACTAGGTGGACTTACCCAAAGAAAGTTGTGGCTAATTGCCCTGTCTGATTCCATTTGTTTCTGTTGCATCATGCAGTGCCGTTTTTAGCAAGCTGTTATTTAAGCCACTGATCTAAAAGAAAAGCAAGATATTCCTATTACAATCCTTTCAGCATCCAACTAAACACCTTCAAGCTGAATTTACTCTGGAAATTTGAAGTTTTGCATCCGACTTTCCCTAATAAGAAAGAGTTAAAAAGGGATATTTTTTTGTTTGTACATGAGCTTTTATCTCCACATATTAATTTAAATATCTTTAGTTTTTAGTCTGTTTTTTATGTTTTTTTTCAAGATTTTCTACTCTTCCAAAATGAGTTGGATATTGTTTTGAGTTGCATATTTTAATCTGAGGTTTTATTGTATTTCCTTTTTTAATTTAAATTAGAAACAAGCTTGTTTTACATGTCAATAACAGTTCCCTCTCCCTCTTAACCTCTCCTACTACCCAACAATCCATTTCATCCCCTTTCTGCTCCCCAGGGAGGGTGAGGCCTTCCATGGGGGAATCTTCAACGTCTGTCATATCATGTGGAGCAGGGCCTAGACCTCCCCTGTATGTCTAGGCTGAGAGAGTATCCCTCTATGTGGAGTGGGCTCCCAAAATCCATTCTTGTACTAGGGATAAATACTGATCCACTACGAGAGGCCCCATAGATTGCACAGACCTCCAAACTGACATCCACATTCAGGGAGACTGGATCAGTCCTATGCTGGTATCCCAGCTATCAGTCTGGGGTCCATGAGCTTCCCCTTGTTCAGGTTAGCTGTTTCTGTGGGTTTCTCCAACCTGGTCTTGACTCCTTTGGTCATCACTCCTCCCTCTCTGCAACTGGATTTCAGGATTTTGGCTCAGTGTTCAGCTGTGGGTGTCTGCTTCTGCTTCTATCAGCAAGGTTGTGATCAATCTCATTATTGTGGAAGGGCATTTAAAGTAGCCACTCCACTATTGCTTAGATTGTTATTGGTGTCATCCTTGTAGATCTCTGGATATTTCCCTAGTGCCAGATTTCTCTTTAAACCTATAATGATTCACTCTATTATGGTATCTCTTATCTTGCTCTCCTCTATTATTCCCCTGACTCAATCTTCCTGATCCTTCATGTCCTCCTCTTCCATCTTCTTCTCCCCTTCTCTTTCTCTTAACTCTCTCTCCCCTCCCCCATGATCCCAATTTGCTCAGGAGATCTTCTCCCTTTCCTCTTCTCTGGGAGACCATGTATCTCTCTCTTAGGGTCCTTCTTGTTTCCTAGCTCCTCTGGCAGTGTGGATTGTAGGATGGTAATCCTTTGTTCTATGTCTAAAGTCCATATATGAGTGAATACATACCATGTGTGACTGGGTAACATCCCTCAGGATGGTTTCTTCTAGTTCCATCCATTTGACTGCAAATTTCAAGATTCCATTGTTTTCTGCTGAGTAATACTGCATTGTGTAGGTGTACTACATTTTGTCTATCCATTCTTCAGATGAGGGGCATCAAGTTTGCTTCCAGGTTCTGGCTATTACAAATAACGCTGTTATGAACCTAGTTGAACAGATGTCCTTGTTGTATGAATGTGCATCTTTTGGGTATATGCCTAAGAGTGGAATTGCTGGATCTTGTGGTAGACTGATTAGCATTTTCCTGAGGAACCACCATACTGATTTCCAAAGTGGCTGTATGATCTGGCACTCCCACCAGCAGTGGAGGAGTGTTCCCCTTTCTCTACATCTTCTCCAGCATAAACTGTTGTTGTTTTTGATTTTAGCCATTCTGACAGGAGCAAGATGGTATCACAGAGTTGTTTTGATTTGTATTTCCCTGATGGCTAAAGAATGTAGAGCACTTTCTTAAGTGTCTTTTCAGACATTTTAGACTCCTCTATTGATAATTCTCTATTTAGTTCTATACCCCACTTTTTACTTGAATTGGTCGGTGTTTTGGTGACTAGCTTCTTGAATTATTTGTATATTTTGGAAGTCAGCCCTTTGTCAGATGTGGGGTTGGTGATTATCTTTTCCCATTCTGTGGGATGCAGTGTTGTCTTGTTAACCGTGGTGTCTATTGCCTTACAGAAGCTTCTCAGTTTCAGGAGGTTCCAATTATTAACTGTCGATGTCAGTGTCTGTCCTACTGGTGTTATGTTCAAGAAGCAGTCTCCTGTACCAATTTGTTCAAGGCTACATCCTACTTGCTCTTCTAAGAAGTCAGTGTGGCTGGATTTATGTTGAGGTCTTTGACCCATTTGGAGTTAAGTTTTGTGCGTGGAGATAGATATGGATCTATCTGCAGCCTGCTACATGCCAGCATCCAGTTATGCCAGCACCATTTGTTGAAGACACTTTCTTTTTTATATTGTATAATTTTAGTTTCTTTGTCAAAAATCAGGTGTTTGTAGGTGTGTGGGTCCACATAAGGGTTTTCAATTTGATTCCATTGGTATATCTGTCTATTTTTGTGCCAATACCAAGATGTTTTCAGGACTATAGCTCTATAATAGAGCTTGAAGTCAGGGATGGTGATGCCTCCAGAAGTTCCTTTATTGTATAGGGATGTTTTGGCTATCCTAGGTCTTTCATTTCTCCATATAAAGTTGAGAATTGTCCTTTCAAGGTCTGTGAAGAATTGTGTTGGGATTTTGATGGGGATTGCATTGAATCTATAGATTGCTTTTGGCAAGATTG